GGGTAGTGCTCTAGAAGAAATGATCTTGCGTGTAACATATCTACTTGGTACCCTCATATGTGTACTAAAGACACCAACTTAATAACCCAGTATGTTGGCTCGCAACAAGTATCGTAAGAACTTTCTCACTGCAAATAAGTTCCACTTATCTATCCATTCTACCCCCACCAGCGTCTGGTTCAACCCGACTTTCACTCCAAGGAGATTTACAACATGCAACGCATACCATAATGATGTGATAAATCAATTAAAACACTTTATGAATTCGAAGTAATGAACTATGAATATGATTTGTTCTGTCTTATATTTCTATTAGTCATCATCCAACATAGGCGCCATTGAGGTTAGCAGAAACCATGAGTAGATAAGGCTGATGTCGCCGAGTACATAGAATAGCAGATCCTGCACCTCTCATACATGTTGATACTCCCGGCCTACAAGGGCCGTTGGCGCCCCATACAGTTTGGTACTCCGGCTACAGGCCGTTGAGTGGATATGATTATATATCGGCCATAGCAGCCAAGCATACATTATTCATCCAGTTTCATACAGTTTTTCTTATCACTTCGGTTTCACTATAACCTTATGGAGCCATACAGATATCTTGACATAACACTTCATAAATTATACAGTATTACAAACAGTACAAAAGATAATCAAGGTAATGAAGGTATCATAACATGTGTGCTTATATGTGCCATATGTGTTTACATACTTATTTCTATCTATGTATGTGCTTGATTGTTTCTTCATTTGTTGAGATATCCACTGAGCTTTATTTGCTCAGCGAGTTACCTGTTTAACTCGCAGGTTTGACCGTAGCGGTAAAGTCAGCCTGACCTGCAAAGCTCCTGCTGCTCGTCATCTTGTAAAGACTCAGTTTCTTCTAGGTAGCTATTCTCATTGGCTGTTGATCTTTTATGTCTACCCTCTTTTTTTTATAGTTCGCATGTTTACAGGGCACACAGTTTGGGCCATTTCATTTTCGATAACTGAGTATTCATGTTTTTACACATATAAGTACTATTTGGAAATACTAAACAGCCATCAGCATAGAGTAAGAGTTATCCTATTCATCTTATTAGTCAGCAATGACTAGGTCCTATTAAGTAAACCAGTTCTGTTGTAACGTCTCGGCTCAGTTTATTCGATCATTGGCCGTTGGAAGCCGGAAGGGCGATGTTACATTATAATATATTAAGTGCCTTCTAATATGAGCTGTGTTTACTTTTTAACACAAAAAGTCCACTTAGTGTTATTTAGTTGAGTTCACTCCTTTTTATTCTATGCCACTTACGCACTCAGTGTGATTTGTCCACGACATGTTTTGTAAATATTAAGTACATTATTAATATAAACAGCATCAGCATGATATAAGAGTCTGTATCCATTATTATATCAGCATGACAGGTCATAAAGTTAACCAGTTTGTAACGTCTCGGCTCAGTTTATTCGGATTTATGGGTGGACCGGGAAGGGATGTTACATTAATATTAAGCTTATAATGAGCTGTGTTTACTTTTAACACAAAATCACTTGTGTTATTTTAGTTGGTTCACCCTTTTTATTATATGCCACTTAGCACTAGTGTATTTGTCCACGAAATTCATTTCTACAGTGACGTTGTTAGTACGCTATAGATAGAGAGCAGTGAATGTGACATTGAAATTAATAAACGACTCTCACTTATTTATGTTTGAGAGATCAAATATATTTTAGTCTCTCATATTTATTACATTAAATTTATCAAATTAAAACGACATTATTTTAATATATATTTAATTAATTTTGACTTATTGAGTTAGTTTATAAGCTCGAAAATTAGACTTATGAACATTGGTAGTCCCTTCCCATATGAATCTTCGCAAATCTTTTCAATTCACATGACTTGTTATCTTGCTTCGACTTGGTGATCCCACTTCTTTGGTGCGATTCATTTTAGCACGTTGCGAAACATTTGAGAAAAAAAGCTTGGCTATGGTTGCAACTTCTAAGTATAAGTGAAGCAGATATCTGCCACAGCAAAATAAAAGTGAATCGGATGTCTGTAAATTTTAAATTATCCGTATTTATATCCTTTTAGAATTATATTACTTGTATCGATTTCAAATTCATTCGTTTAAATATTCGTATTTAAATCCATTTAAAATTTTATCACTTGTATTAATTCCAAACTCATTTAAAATATAAGATATCCACAAACTTACTTAAAATCTTTTCTTAATACATGGGTAGGAAAATTTGTGGGTACCATGACCAAACATGTTTAATACAATAGAAAATGGATAGCTGGTACCCTAAAATATATACTCGTATTCATTATAAGTAATAATTTTACTATTTATATTCGCTCCAAATCTATTTATAATTACTCATACTCTCGTTGAATGGAGCGAAACGAATACCCTAAAATATCCGTCCTACTTTCGACTCTAGGTGATAGTCCAATACGAGAAAATGTTACTAGCTTAAATTCTGACTCAAGTAGCGTGAGGTAGGTGAAATACCGTGTAATTAGCAAAGACCACCTTACAAAGCTAAACACTCCTAGGTGACTGATACTAAAGTAGTATAGTGAGGGAAGGTTAAAAGAATTCCATTGAGAAACGAAACATAATATGGAACTATAAGCTCCCAAGTAGTGGGAAGAACCCAAGGCTCTGACCACATGCCTGTTGAAGAATGAGCCGACGACTAGTAAGTAATGGCTTAATTAAGGGAACACACTAGAACTGTAGCAAAAGCAAGTCTTTACAAGACAATTTGTCACTGCTTATGGGTTTGAATTTGGTTGATCTATCCATGACAAGATGAAACTTAAGTGAAATTAAGTTGAGGTCCAAACTAACTGATGTTGAAGAATCAATAGATGAATTGTGGCTAAAGAGTGAAATGCCTCGTAAGTGAATAGGAGGAGGACAATAATATTTAAGGTCATTTATTTTGGCTAAATGATACTTCCTTTATTTCATAATTTTATTATATACAAGTTAAGACATTTATTCGAATTTGCAAGATAAATTTCGTCCAATGGAAAACTTTGAATCAAGCAAAACCGCATGGAACAAAATGAAAACTTATCAATTTCAATTTTTTTTTAAAAAAATGATTAGATAAGCTATATAATTTATTAGATAGAAAGACAAAATTGCAAAATCCTAAATAGAAATACAAAGGTTAAAATAGTAAATTAGTAAAAAAAAAATTAAACTGGTTAGGTCTGAACTAGACACTAACTGATGTGTACTTTCACTTGAATTCTTTAGTTAATAGGGATAATAAAAGGGCTACAGTTAGCGTTGGTAGGTAATAGCAGAGAAGTAATGAAAAGGTTGTTTGTACAGATGAGATAGACGAAATGTCAGAAAGCATAACCACGTGATACTAGCAATCATTTACTGAACCAAAATTAAATCATATGTCTCTCTCAATCTACGGTTTTCCTTTTTTCTTTTTTTTTTTTTTTTTTTTTTATAAGCCACTGATACTAGCAATCAGTTTATGAACCAGAAAATCATATCTTCTATCTCAATCTACGGTGTTTTCCTTTCTTCCTTTCTTTTTTTCTTGTTTTTGTGTTAAAATTTTTGTACCCTTTTTTCGGCTTCTACGCAAAAACTGAACAATAAGTTTTTTTGTCTTGCAATAATAGATAACTTAAGTTAAATTTTTTAAAAATAAAACATTATAAGAAAATCTCTTTTGTTGCATGAGCAATGCATTTTTGTGTTAGTAATGAAGAATGAGGAAGTTTTTATAATCAATTATAATCGCCGAAGGCAAAAAGTAAAGTTTCCAAGCCGACCACGATTCAGCAGATGTTAACAAGCAAATGCGAAAAAACGTTCAATGTCTTTGAGAGGAAAACCCATAGGGGTGGACAGTGCGTTGAGTTAAGCAAGTCTATTGAAGTTGCGATGACAAGAAATTAAGTGTTGAACTCACCCATAAAGCAGTGATGTATTCCACCGAAGGTAGCGAGGATTCTTCACTTCTGGGGTTTTGAGTAAGCAATTCTATAGAAGTGTGCATCACAAGAAATTACGCAGTTAAACTCACCCATGAAATAGTTGATTATTCCAGAACAGTAGCAGGATTCGTTTGAGTAAGCAATCTATGAAGTTTCATACAAGGAAATTAAGTGTAACTCACCCATAAAATTATTATTCACAGAAGTAGCAGGATTCTTCACTTTCTGGTTTGAGTAAGCAATCTATGAAGTTTCATACAAGGAAATTAAGTGTAACTCACCCATAAAATTATTATTCACAGAAGTAGCAGGATTCTTCACTTTCTGGTTTGAGTAAGCAATCTATGAAGTTTCATACAAGGAAATTAAGTGTAACTCACCCATAAAATTATTATTCACAGAAGTAGCAGGATTCTTCACTTTCTGGTTTGAGTAAGCAATCTATGAAGTTTCATACAAGGAAATTAAGTGTAACTCACCCATAAAATTATTATTCACAGAAGTAGCAGGATTCTTCACTTTCTGGTTAGTGGATTTATGGCCCAAAAACTACTTAGGTTCAGCTGACAGTTTTTTAAGTGAAAATCAAAAAGCTAAGATTGAATAACTAATTTTGCCGAATATGCCTGACAATCTATAGCCAATTTTGCTGAATATACCTCGACAATCTCCGCAGGTTCTGAACATTGAAAATAACAAAAGTTATTTCTTTTTTTTTTTTTTGTTTTCTCTAATGAACATAAATTGATATACATACAATTCAATCATATTGAAATAGTAAATAATGCATTCTTGGGAATTAAAATCTTAAAAATAACGACTTGGTTTTCCTTTGAATAAGTAAAATATTTTCCATTGGTTTTTTTACCATTAGAGACATTAGAAAATCCGCAAAATACTTTGAGGATAATTTATTTTCCAAAAATGAACCCAATATAGAAAACATCCATTTTAATTTCCTCCATTGATGAAAAAACATAAAGAAGGTTGCCTATTTTGTTTTATTGGATTCTTAAATCTTAAGATAAAGTTTGCAATAAACAAACGTTTTGAAAAATAATTATTACTCTGTAACCCTCCAATGGCTACTCAGGCTTTCAGGTCTCGTACTCGGACTATGAAATAAGATGACACTAAATTCTACACCCACCTGATCCTGCGAAAATTGACAACTATTACAAGGAAAAGCAGCATCCAAATAAGCAGTAGGTATACCAAACTAGTCGAATACTCAGGATATTGAAATAGCAAGAAAATAAAACTCTGTGATTCTACCAAACAATTGATCCACAGAACAAAGACAGGCACAGCATTTCTGTTTGCATTCACTCTGGAGATAACATGAAGGAAAGCAATCTGTTCTTTATAACCAAGAATGCTGATACAACAAAAATTGCAATTAGCCACTAGATGATATTCATATGTTAAACCATCCTCCCAAAAAATGATTGGTTATTAAGTAGCACAAAAGTATCCATATCTGACCTCAAACATAAGGAAAAACCTGTGCATCTCATGAATCATGAGCACTTGGCATATTTTGCGATCAATAAATGGTTTTCTGGAGAAATGCATGATGGGACATACTTAACAAGCTGTGCTTCCATTCCTCGTTCTTTTGCCCACATCATCCTTCCTGTGTCAATGATTTGTTTACACATAAAACCCAACACAGCCCTGTCAACTGCTTTCATATTTCTCACTACATCTTCAATCCCATTTGCACCACCACTGCACCAGTCCTCCCCCCTGTCAAAACGGGAAACGTGAGTATGCAGGAGAAAAAGCATGCAAAAGATAAAAATAAAGAAAAGTGTGCTCAAACACATAATTGTGCCTCATTTAGAATTGAAATGTACAAAATAATAACATTACATGTATTGTAGATGCAATTCACAATCAATAGAAAGATCTGATCCATGATCAGCATCTACAGCCCAGCTTGTAAACCATGTAATTGCATGAAATTCTTCCTTTGTGATTCCTAGGTCTGCTATGAATTTTTTATCTGCATGTATGCAAAATTTGCATGATCAGCTCATAACAGAATATATAAATACCAAGCATAAGCCTGTGCCCACCATGCACTTCTATAAATTCAAGTAAAAAATAGTGGCAATTACTTGTATAATGCTTCCACTGGCAAAGATGATGGCAACATGTTGCTATAGCAAGGCCCTTAAGGGAATGATTGACACTGCACTTTTCCATAGTAGTTTCACTACTTTGTTCCGGAAGGCAACATCTTAGCGTCAAATCTACAGGAAGATATTTCAAAAGAGGAAAATTATTGAGTTTACTGATTTGCCACAAGTGATAAATAATTAAATCATTTTCAGAAGTTTAATTCCCACTGATGCATAAGGGAAATTTATTTTGAAAGCATACTGCTTACCAGTTGCAGGCCCACAAAGATGTTTGCCTATAGCTAGAAAAGGAAGACCCAGCAGTGATTCAACTGCATTCAAGTTTAAATCCTCAACTGCAAATGCAAATGTAGGATTATTATGTAACCAGGTACGTGAAAAATAAGACCTATGCAGATTATCCACTAAATTAAGCTGAATGTTCCAGGAAAAATGCATATGTATTATACTATTTGACTTTTTTATTTGAAGTTAAAATCGAAAGAAAGAGAATAAGGCAAAAAACAAAAAAAGAAGAACAAGAAAGAACTGAAGGTCATATGATGGAGTTGCAAATACTTTTTGCAGTATCAGCATTGGGAAACCTTACTATCAATTCTCAAACGCTCTAATGTCAAATTGTCTTTTTGTCGCAGAGATCGATCAGCCTAGAAGTAACAATAGCATCAAATAAACAACGTACAAATTGCACATCAATCATGGTCGAACAAACTCATAAAAATTACCAATTTTTGATCAAATAAAACTACAAGCAACGTGCCATTAACAAAAAGGTGAAGCAAAACTAACCTTAAGTTTATATGATTTTCGTTCAACCAAAAAGACCATTTGAATCCCATAACAATCTGCCAGCATCTGTGTCAAGTATCCTCTCCCCGCTCCAAATTCAACTACTGCAGGGGCTGCATTGTCGAGATATAGCCCCTCACCATCACATTGTTCCTTTTCAGAATAACTCTTTAACGCCCCAAAATCCTCCAAATTTCCAAGAATTGATGCTTGTTGCTTGACGTGTTTCTCTTGAAATGGTAATTTCCTGCCCAAAGAAGCATCCATATTACAAAACCAATCATTTTCTAATAAAATCAAACAGAATGTCTCATATTTTATACCTGTCTATTTCTCTCCTAATCCAAACGTTACAAGCTTCAGGCATCTTATAAGATTCAACAATATCCTTACATATCAAAGCATGTATTGACTCAATCTTCTTTATTAATTTACAAAATTCAGATACAGTCATGCCGTAAATAGCATTCCTCTTCATTTCAGATGTAATGTCCTCCTCTTCTTCTTTACCTGCATTAATGCCCTTCTGGTAGAAAGGTTGCAGGGACAAACACTGCGTTTGTTTCAACAATGGGCATCTTGTAACATGTCCGTCGAGATTTTCTTTAAGAACAGAACTATTAAGAAAAAAAAAGGTACATGCAACATGTCAAAGGTTGCAAATTTAGGAAGCAAAAATAATCATTAGTAGCAATAAAGAAGTATTTAGCAGACAAATTGGAAGAAAAATGAAAGGGGAAATTACTGTGAAGGGTCAATCGGGCAGGGGATCCACTGGCCATCGGACCTCGACTTGTGATTGCCACAGAAGCTTAAGGAGTTCAAGTACAAGGAAATCAGAGAAATTGAATTAAACGAGAGAAGAGAGTGTCAAGCGAGGAGTGAGACTTACGGAGAATCGTTGAGGCGGCCATTAGCACAAAATCGGTTCTTTCTGGTGAGCCAGAATTTGCAACGGTTCTCTTCTTCCATTATTGCTTCCACTCTACCGGAAGGTTTAGGTCGTCCGAAATATTGAAATTGAACTGGAGAAACTGGTTTTTGTCCGGTTTGTTTGATAGGCATGGCGTATGAAACTACGGAATTATACTTGACGCTAGCTGTCGCTCGACAACATGATTAAACGGCGATATCGTATTTCTGTCGTTTATGTAACATGCCATTCTTTTCCTACCGCGCCTAATTGGACTTTGTGTTACTTTATTTTTCAGCCCAAATATATTTCTTGCTCATTTCCAATGCCATAAATCACTAATCATATCCTAATTACTGTATCTGTTTCATAATACTTATCATATTTGAAATTTTGTATTCTTTAAAAAAAATCATTAAATTTATCTAAGTTACAATAAATTGACCATATTACCCTGAATTTAATACTAAATCTCAAAGAAAATCATTAAATTGAAGTAATAATAAACATGAAAAAAAAATATTTATTACTCCTTGAAACTACAAACGTGATAATTATTTTGGAACAAATTATTTTTTCAAATATAATAAGTATTATAGAACTAATACATAAATAATTTTGTTGCTTTATTTTAAAAAAATTACCATGACATTCTTAACTTTTGTTTCAAACCAACTATCAAGTGATTCTGTCCAAAACGTCTATTAAACACAACTTCAACATTTTATTTTAGTACCCTAAAAAAATTTCTTGAAAGTCCCTTAATTATTTCACTTATTTTGGACAAAGCTTTTCATTAGAGGCACTAGAGAAGAGGAAGAACATGTCAACAATATCAGTTTTTTTATTAGCTGTTAGTCGAAATTATAAATATTTAAGAAAAATAGTTATTTAATTTAAAATGATAAAAAAAAACATTAACTGTTTAATTAGAATTTAGAGAAAAAAACAATGAGTATAATAATAAAAAAAATAATTAATTTTTATAACATGCTAAACATTAACTACTTTAACTGTTTATAAAAAGTTCCTTCCACGTTTAAAAGCTATTATTATATTATTAAACACACAATTAACATAGACGATTTGATAAAAAAAGTTAAAAGCTATCTTAAAGGCTGTTGCTGAATTTAACGAGCAGTTGATTACAGGCTTTTTTAAGCACATAATCAGTAGTCCTCTCTCAGTGGCCTTCGTATTGTTATTTGAGTGCTACGTGATCCTTTTTCGTCCTTGAAGCAATATAACAGAAAATCGGGAGTTGTTTTTTCGCACTTGTTACTTGCTGGCTTGCATTTGAGTATTCAAACTTTCAAGACTCAAGAAATTATCTAACTGTCATGGAACATCATTCTATGATAAACAATTCTGATGCTCAAATATAAAGTACCAGTCATTATAAAAAGTTATCATCTAGTACCATTTATTTCATAAAAACAAACTCATATATCAAGTTATGAATTCCAAGTAAATACTTCTTCCATTTCCAAATTCTTATTCAACATCCGTTAAGAAAACTATTCAATTTGTCTGTGTTACAATAAGTTATTAAATAAATTAACTATATTAATCTTAATTTATAATTTAAGTGAAAATCATTCAATCATTATTAATTATATGGGAAGGGTAAAACGAAAAAATAATTTATTATTTATTAAATCCACAAATGTGACAAGTATTTAGAACATAATTTTATCTCAAGATGTAAATATTTTCCCAATTTATTAAGAAAAATAAAAATATTCTATATATATATATATATGGGAGCAACAGGGCACAATTAAAAATAATAATAATAAGATGCTAAAGGTTTGGCAAATCAATCGTAGGACAACAAATTAGGAACGAGAACAGGGAAATAAATAAAAAAAAATTGAATCCTTTGCTCGTTTGAAATGACATATGAATTCAAGAAACTAAGCTAACTCTACAGATAAGAAAATGTGCAGACTTAGTCATGTAGGACAAAATAAATGCAACAACAAAAATGACTCGTCTATAACTTCTTGAGAACTATGAACGTATCAGTTTAAAATTGTTAAAAGCTTTTTATTGCATCTGCAGAAGCGACTCTACATCCGTCCATACATGGAAAGCAAACCTCTCAGTCTCTTTGCTTCTTTTGCCATTTGATCAAAACTCATTGAAGAAGGTATCCTCCAACCCCAATTTCCAAACTGCATCCAATAATTAAAAAGAATGGAAAATTTCTTATTTCTGTGATAATAGAGAGATATATGCTTAAAATTACTATTCCATTCACTTATATGAGCCAAATTACACCACAATCCCATAGGAATTGCCGGATTGGCATTACGAAGGTGGGACCTGCCCTCAACAAAATCCAGATTGACTCCAAGTTTCACTTGCTCAATAGATAGTAAGAGCCTGTTCGATATTGACGTTGAAATTGCTTCTCCAGAAAAACACAATTATAAATGCTGTTGGAGAAAAAATTTTTATGTAAAGTTTACCTGTTCTGAAAATTTTGAGTATAATATCTGAAACCTTAATTAAAAAAAAAAAAAAAAAATTTGAATGACTTCTACCCAAAATTTTCAACAAATTACTTTTCTCAACAGCAATGCCAAACAAAACTGAGATTGGCTGAGTCAATTATATGGGAAGAAAACAGGGCCATTATAGTGAATATAAGGCTACAAATAGGGCAATCCATGAAGAAATTTTGGAGTAAAAGGCATTTTAGACTAGAACATAGTAGAATTTACAATGCCTAAGCCAAAATTTTAATTTTCCGTATTAAATACTGGACTAGATAGAGTATGCCAGCTTAGCCCTTAAACAGTCTTTTCTCATTTATCATGCATCTATCTATGAATATATCCTTTTACCTGAGTTGCTGGAATGTTCATCCTGGCAGAATTCCCCAGTCCAAGAACATCTTGCAGGGGCATTACTGCAGTTTGGGCCACTGATGCAACTGCAGCTTGGATGAGTGCCCATGGCATATCATCTTCTTCAGTAATTGAAAGATACTTCAGTACCTGAGTTAAAAATGTCACTGTGATAAATAAAACCATCATAGTGGAGCAAAACCCTTTTGGCATATGTGCAAATTCGATGTTTCACTAATATCATGAGCCAAAGTACCAAAAGAACTCACATTTGACTTCTCCCTTTTCTTCAAATTATCCCACCAGCCTCGAGTCTATTATGATTACAAAAACTGTTAGCTGACCGTAAAGAGTGCTTGAAGTCAAAAATTAATGAGATGGACATAATAGTATTCCCATTTTTAAAACGCTATAGAGTAACACTTGCTAGAGAGATTATCTACAGTCTAAAAATTAACTCATTAACTGAAATTGGGAAAGAGGTTTCAATGATTGTCTAAAGTTAGCACAGACATGGCAACAGATTGATTTCCAAAGTTGGCAAATCTTTACCGTGTCATTATCATGAGTTCCAGTGTATACAACTTGATTGGCTTCATGATTATGAGGTAAATGAGGGTTATCTGCATCGCTTCCGAAACCTGAACCAAGAAAATACAGAATATAACTACAGGAGTACATGATACAAACATCAAGGTGACTACATAGTGACATTTACGATACCAATTACATTGAAAGCAGAAATAGTTACCAAACTGAAGGACAGCCATTCCAGGAGCACCAATAGATTTCCTAAGCTGCACGACATCCTCAGTAATAACTCCCTGAAATATCACAAAATAAGAGACTATAAAATATCAACCAGAACTCAAGGCAAGCCATTGGATATTAAACAAAATATTTCCTTCTAGAAATTCATTCCATGGTCTTCATAATGTCATACATGTCAAGCTATAGTCAACCTTTCAAAAGAAGGGCAAAAGTTAAAAGTTATAAGCTGACAAAAATATTATAACCTTCAAACAGCATTGGACAGTTGCATTAAGGAAGAGAGCTAGGAACCTGCCTTACTCTAATTCTCCAATAGGAAGACTATTAATGTTTTCGGTTATTTTTATGCCTATCATGGCCATGCACCCCATGGGTAAAGCTTTTGGACTTTATCAACCAAAGCGCAGCTTTACACCATGGTTAATGCAACACCACCCAAAACACCTCAAAATATTATTTGAAATTCCTGTCATATGTTGGATCCAACAGTTACCTTTTAGGTTCATTGATACAACACTGAACCAACAAAACAATATCAACCATCAGATAGATGATGGGTATGCTAACATAGACAAACAACATACTTTTGATTAAAATTCAATTATGAACCAATTATGTTCTCCAAACACTCATATAGCATATTTCTCAAAGAATTTAACTTGTACAAAACAGACAAGATGGTAGACTGTGTAAATAACCCACCAGAATTAATTGAATGAGTAACGAAAATCAGTTAAATTTATTTAAATCAAATGATCAAATCTTAGCAAACTTGATATTTGTTGAAGTTATGCACCCATGATAATGGCACACAATATATAAAGATTAATGGCTTTTCATTGACGTGAAATGACAACTGCTATTTCTTCAATTTCAAAGGCTCATGTTCAACGAAAACTTTAGTACAAGCAGGTGACAGTTTATTCAAATTGGATAAACCATCATGTTAGGACCAGTTTAAATTAAATGAAACTTGTGTCTGTGGCATAACGTTTTAGTAATTTTAAAAACCAAAGGGAGAGAGCATTCTTCCATAGCTATCCTACAAGGCAACAAGAGAAGCCAAAAAAAAAAAAAAAAAAGAAATTTGCAATAAAAAAAAAAAAAAAAAAGGTAATTTGCAACCTATCTGATGAAACATACCAAATCCTCTGCTATTATTCTGATATTTCCAAAAGCACCAGAGATGGCATCAAATAGAGATTTCCCAGGTCCAGCCTACTGCCAACCAAATAATATATAGTGGATGATAGGAAAATTAACCAAAAATTACAATTTAATTGGAATAAAAGATAACAGACCTTCCAGTTTCCGAGCAATGCAATTTTTGCATCTGCACAGTAATTGAATTTATTAGGATGACTTCATCTTGAACAATCTTCAAGTTAATCTACTCAAATTAAAGATTGTCTCACCAGAAGGAACAGCCCAATAACCAGCAAAACCTCTAAAATGGTCAATCCTAAATTCATCATACAGATCTTGTGCTCGGCGTAACCGGCGTATCCACCATGAATATCCATCTTTCTCCATGGCTTTCCAATCATAGAGAGGGCTTCATGTCAGACAAATTTTCTTTTGGTAAGTTGGCCAATATATTCGGCTAAAAAATTGTTTCATTTTCGATGCCATGAAAATTATCAAAAAGCAATAGAATTATGACAGGAAGAAGCATAGACCATGAGCATCTAAATATCAGATACGTATTTACGTGAGACCTAGAACTGAAACTTTAACCAAGTGAACAACAACTGACTACAATCAATTTCAGACATAGTGATTGTTTTACAAGGGCAACAACCGAGTATCTTTTGTGGGCAAGAAAACCCATCAGAGCTGCAGCTATTGCCCACTGCAATTGCTGCAAATCTTCTGATGCTAAAAAAGACTACAATGGTACTTTTAAACAGTGTTGCGGAAATATCAGGGAGTCTGAATAGCATGAACAGATAAACAAAAAGAAGAAAATGTAAGAACACGACATAATGTAGTATACAGATATTTTGTCAACTTCAGAAATAAAACCAATTGCACTAGCAGAGTCATATCTGAACTTCCATACGAGTCTATAGATTCTTAAGGTAACTAAATAAGCTGCACATTTGCAGTTGATAAGTAATGAGATTTCTACAGAAATATTATTTTATCATAACAACAGATGAGTTACCCTAGTAATATATATATGCATGCAGTACCCTAGTAATATATTATATATATATATTATATATAATATTTTTTTTTTTTTTTTTTTTTTTTTTTTTTGAAACAAAACCTGCCCACAGTTGACCAGTTTCACTTTGAAGGCATTCAGGGGGTCAACCACTAACCCAAAAGAGGAAAAGCCACTCCTTACTCTGCGGACAAAGATTAAAATTAGTAACCATATTGTCATTCACCAGCATCATCAATTAGTTTTTTTTGGAACAAACCTGCCCCACAGTTGACCAGTTTCACTGAAGGCATCAGGGGGTACACCACTAACCAAAAGAGGAAAGCCACTCCTACTCTGCGGACAAAGATTAAAATTAGTAAAGCCATCATTGTCATCACCAGCATCATCAATTAGCATGCAAAGAAAGCTAAGGAAACATACTTAAGCCTCATGATAAGCCACAATTTCACATATCTGTAAAGGAACTGCCGAACTGCTTACCAACAAAAAATGCTTCTTATTTGCCCATACATCAGCACTGTGATAGCCTACATATATGGGCATGTCACCCATTATACTAATTCCTTTTGCCCGTGCATAGCTGCGTACTTTCTGCCATTGCCTCTGGAACAAGAACTGTTGGGCAATGAATATCTCTATCTGTGCATGTGGAACCAAATCATGAGGACATGAATATGGAGGATTTACCACCATGGAGTTGCTATAAGGAATTGAAGGGAAGTTTAACCAGATCTTACAAAATCCCTTTTGCTTTGGTAAATCTCCTCTAAGGCAGCAAGATGGCGATTTTTTAAAGGTTCTGGCCAGTCATACCAATTCAAGGTATTTAAAGCATCATCAATAGCAGCAAAATAAGCTGCATCTTCAAGCCAACCTACAAGATCATGAACAAAGCCTGTACTTAGTTTCAAGTGTTAAATTTGAAGCTGCCACTTACAAGTTATAACAAATGACAAATCAAGAGATATGATTAAGAAATCAAATATAGCACCTTTTTCTATAAGATAGTTAGCACCAAGTCTGTGCAAATCCATCTACTAGCTAGAGTAATATAACTTACGAGGAATCTGAAAAATCTAAAATCTAAAACTTTTCTCAACTCCTAAACAAGGAAGATAAATAAAAAGAGAGGAAAAATTGGTATCCAAAATACCAGAAGTGTCTCTAAGAATGAGATTTCTCCTCTCCTATAAAGCCTCTAATGTTTCTTTCTAATCCAACACCAAAAAGCAGTACTCCTCTTCCATTGAGATACAAACATACTTCTTCAAGCTCATAGTTCCTCCTTAATTGGTGTACCTTCCAATTTATCATACTTGTGTATGATAAAAATTGAAAACAAAAAGCGTCCATAAAAATTATAAATCAAATAACACAAAACTAAGTGTAATATGGGTTTGCTTTTCTTTATTTTCTTCACCTTCTTATGCAAGTTATTAATCTTTGATCTATCAAATACAAAACTAGAGCTGCATGTATTAGTAAGAATAGCAAAAGTAGCAATCTAAAGATTAATCAATAACTAGATTCCATGGGCGTGAATTTATGATTATCTAAGAGTAAGAGAACATGAATCTTACCTAAGATATTGGGGTCTTTGCGGAAATCTTCAAGCTGACGTTTAAGCTCTCCGTCACTCAGGATAAGCCTCTCTGCAGCCTAAGAAAAGACTGATGTAAGATATTTGGCCTAAGAATGAAAAACAAGATACTAAACAAAGAAAAGGTACTAAAGTGTTTTAGATAAAACAATTTGGTTAGATGTTCTGCATCCAAGATTATTTTTCCCTTTTGCTGAAACATTTTTTTTCCTATATAAATGTTAGAGATTTCCAAAAAGATTGACAACCACACAACAGCAACTCCACACTTTTCTCCAAAAGTAAGAAACAGATGCACCAAGAAAGTACTGACAGAGTGCACTTAGTAACTTTGCTAGTGTAGAAAAATAATCATACGATTAAACATAAAAAATAATCACCTGCCAAATGTCAGTAAGTAAATAAACATACCAGTAAAGAACCCATTTATGCAGTATCCTGTCATTCCTTATATAATTGATCTTGTTTGAATTAATTAAAAATGTTAATTTAAAATCAACAAAAGCATATGCATAATGGCGGCCATTTAATCTAGATGCTAACCAGTTGGAATTTACAATTTACCTTGGCTACCAGGGGATCCTTTATCTCAGCAACAGCAGAAAAGTTCACACGGTCAGAAACTCTACACAAACGACACCGACGTGACAACAGTAGCAAAATAGGTAAATACAGGACAAAGTACACGCCATGTCATTAAGCCCAAGAAATAATAAATCAGAATCACTCACACTGGATTTGGAAGCTCATTTTTCATCAACAAACCATCCTTTACAAGCTCCTCAAGAGAAATTAAGAGTGTGTTACCACAATTTGCATCCTAAAACAAATTTACTGTTAGAGACAAACACCAGTGATGTACAAAATATTTTAAGAACTATACAATCAAATAGAATTATACATTTCAACCTTTGACCTCAAAACGCTCAAAACACAGTTATTTACTCGTTGAAAAGAAATGTCACCTGTCCCGAGTATGGCGACCCTTCTTCATTAGCCTTCCTTCCTGGAGGCACAAGAGGTAGAACCTGATAACAACAACATAGACAAATTACACATCCTTATATCTATATATGAATTGAAAAAGATAAAAAAAAAAAATTCTAATTTTATCATAGACGAACCTGCCAAACAGAGCAACCAGCATCATGAAGCCAATCAATGAACCGGAAAGCCTCATCTCCAAGATCCCCAATACCGTACGGTCCTCGAAACGATGTCGGATGAAGCAAAATCCCCGCCCTTCTGCGTTGAGCAGGATCGCGTTTTGGTAACCACTGGTCATAATCGGCAGGCAAGTCCTCGCCGACGCTGACGACAGAAGATGAATACACGGCGTCGTTTTTGGAAATTAGAAAGGAAGGCTGGGATTTCGATTGGCAGTTAAAGGGAGGAAATGAAATTGAAGAAGGTGGTGAAGTTGAATGATAGAGCCTGCGACAGAAAGGTGAAGGAGGAGGGAGAAGTGAGAGAGAGGTGAGGAGCGCCATTAATCGGCATGTGGATAAATGGAAAAAGAGAAATTGAAGAATTTATAATCTCAGAGTGAATTAGTTGGGAAGATGATAACAGATTTGACAGATGGAGAGAGAGAGAGAGAGAGCTGTTCTTTAGCTAGAACAGTAAGGCACAGGATCCATGGAGATGGAAGCGGGGATATCACGTGTCGTGCATAATAGTAGGGAATGAAGGATTTATATATTTGTTTTTTGCATGGGAGATGTATTTGGGAAATTTTCCAGTATTGACCCTGGTTTTATTTTAATCTGAATTAAAGCCGGTGGTAAGACATGTACATTGCATTGTAAAGATTCTCATATTGTCTCAATTTTACAAACGAAAGGGAAAGTTAATGAAAACTTAAAAATGTTAAAATCTTTAATTGTAAAAATATATTTATTGAATAATTTACTTTTGAGTTTTCATTTTCATGGTTTATTTACATTTGATTTTATAAATTCTGACAAAATTTATTAAATTAGTATTTATATTTATATGGTTATAAATTCTAGAATATTAAGTAATAAAAATGTATATAAATTAAGGTAATATTATAATTCATATATTTTTTTCATACAATTATCATACACTTTTAGAAAAAAAAAATTAGAATCAAACACGAATAGCTAATCCCTATTTTAAAAAATCTTATAGGCAGACAAGTCAATACATCAATGAATTTGTTTTACTCATACAATTCTTAAAACACATGATGAAATTTTCTTCAAAAAAGACATTACTCGTAGGCATGGCTGGTTCGTTGAATCACCGGTTTAAAATCTTTAAACTATTGAATCTGAATTGGACCTTGAACTGTTGGTTTCGATCGATTCCGATGAATTAACAGTTCCAATCACGGTTTTCGGAGATATATATATATAATCAATTCTAATGTTACATCTTTCTTTCGAAAATATTAATATGAGTTTAAAAAATATTTATAAATTTTATTTTAAATAACTTTTAGAATGCTCGTATAAGAATAAAATTAATTAATTTTATAAAATAATCAAATAAATTATCACTTTATTTTTTCTAAATGTTATTAAGTAAATAAAGTATTAGAAAATTTTGAAAAATGCTCTAAAAGAATGTAATTTTGAATTTAGTAAACAATTTAAAAGGAAAAAAAAGTTAAAAACAATATAAATTTAGACTAAATATTTCTCTCTTTTTTTTACCATTTTACTTTTTAGTTAAAAACAATATAAATTTAGACAAATATTTACTCTCTTCTTTTTTACCATTTTACTTTTTAGATTTTTTAAATTTTTAAAATAAAAGTATATTTTTAGATTTTTAAATTTTAAAATAAAGTATATTTAAAAAAAATCTTAAGTAAAGTATATCATGTAATAAAATATTATTGAGACTTTTAGAGGTGTATAAAATAGGCTAAGTGATTATCATTTTAAAAATAAAAAAAAAATTTCCGGACAGAAACCGCCTGTTAACCGCCGATTCCAAGCCAATTTAGGTTCAGATTTTAACATTTAATGAACCTTAACCGTTCGTTAAACCACCGATTTTGGTTCAAAACTTTGAACCGACGGTTTCGGTCCGATTCTAATTCAGCTACAGTACAGTTTGATTTTTAATTTGATTCCGCTTCAAAATGAACCGTGGCCATGCCTAATTACATGATGGGCTAAATCAATATAAAAAATCATTTGATAGAGATTAATCAATACGCAGTATTGATTAATAAAATTAAAAAAATTAACCAGATTTGATAAAAGTGTTAAAATTCAATTTTTTTTTTATACATAAATATATAACTTGGCGCTAATATTGGATGATATATGACTTGGTACTGACATTGAATGTTGTAAGGTCCACTTGTGAGAAATAACTATCATATTAGCATGAAATTGATGGAAAACAAATAGAGGCTAAAATTGATATAGAAAATTAAGTACGCGATATTGATTGATAAAATTAAAAGAACTTGGTAGAATTAATAAAAAGGTCAGATAAAAGAACAGGGTAAATTGATAGAAAGGTCAAAGTTTAAGGTAAATTGATAGAAAGGTCAAAGTTTAAGCTTTTTTTTATCATTAGGCCTTAATTATACTTATTGCTAAATAGTGAAATTAGTTATACGATTATATAATGTGTATGAATCAACAAAATAAATTTGCTTGAATGTATAGAATTATTCAGTGAACCTATGACCTATCAAAATTTTTAAAACTTCAATAGAGAATTGATCCAACTTCAGCATTATAATTTCAATCTTATCAAATCTATAAATTAGTATCAAACATACTAAAACACTCTTCAACTAATATTTTACACATAATTAAAATAATATTTTTAAGGAACAAATAACTAAAATATTTATTTCCTATTTTAAAATTACTTCCATATTTACACATGCACCAACTCACTTCCTATTTCCCTCTTTAGCATTCACAGTAAAGAATCAGAATTGAAATTTGGTTTTGAGATATACTATGTTTTATGTGTAATCTTAGAATTCAAATAAAGAATTTTGAGATTCAAGACGTATGGAGAATGATTCAAGATCAAGATCAGTAAGCATGGACTCATACTCTTTATTTAATTTCAATGATTAGTATACATCTAGTGAATTAAATATGAGCTCCTGTCTCCATAGTAGCAGCAGAGCCAACAAACAAGTAAATTTACAGAATTTAGCATTCATGAGATCAAACCCTATAAATATCATTGAAAATTACACAAATAGGAACATTTGTAAAATATTTTATTTGCTAGTAACACTTAATTAACATCAGACATCAGTATAACCACAATTTAATTTGTAACTCTAATTAAATTTGTGTTATATATATATAAATATATAGGACATCAGTATAACCACTAATTTAATTTTTTGTAACTCTAATTAAAGTCTGTGTTATATATATATAGAAATATAAATATACTATATATATCGTATTCTTTGCACAAGTAAATAAATTTAAATATATATATATATATATATGTATCTTCAAAATGGGAATCCAAATCCCTTGGACTCGTATCTCTCACATTCAACATCCTCAACTATATATGTGAGAGCAGAATCCATTATTTTAAACTATAAATTTGAGATTTCAGATATCATCAGACCAGTCGCTGAGCTCGCTTTCGTAGAATAAGCCATCAACAATCTCATCAATTAGTGAATCAATAAATGTGTTGCAACTTGAAGTGAAGATACGACCTACCCTGTTGCGAGCACTGGAAAACCAAGCGAAAACCGCAGCGCTAGTTACAGCGCCTAAGCATATGCCAGCTGCTTCAGCAATGCCTTGTAAGTCCATCTTTCTGAAAACAGAGTTTCCTGTCACCACCTCTGTTGCCACAGTTACAGCAAACACAATCTGCATCAAAGCTATTATGTTATAAAAATGAAAATTTATGACAAAATTTAAATATTTCATGAATTTACTGATTTCTCGATTCAATTGTCGTTTAGCATCCATTGAGTTCATAAATTTTATTTCAAACCAAAGCATAAAATATGAAATTAATGAAGTTCAAAATGTGAATATGTAAAATTTATGAATTTCGCATTCCACTTATCTAAATAACTTCAAAATTGTGGTGAATAAGTGGACTAAAAGGCTAAAAGTGTGTAGAGTTTATATAATTTTCAGGCTCATATTATTTAAAATCCAATTCAACACTCTATTTATTTATTTTTATGAATCTAATATATTATATTTTAAATTTATAAATCTCAAATTCAATTTATTAATCCAAAAATAGTTTTACTTCACAAAACTCTTTTTGTTAATCTAGAATTACCATTCAATCCCATTGATTTAGATTTTATACTACACAAGGAGGATTATCTATATCCATGGTCTAGCCTCTTTCAATTGATTGATTTGAACAATTCCATAAGACAGAATTACTTAAATATTTATAAACTTTGATTAACAGCAAATTTATTACCCATCTTCAACCTAAAACCATAAACTTACAGCCTCCCATTTTATGGGAATGGGTTGCCAATCCAAAAGTCAACTAATCAAACGGTACTATTTTCTTTCATCACATCACAGATAAAAACCTTCACATAAACAGAATTTAGATGATAATAGGAAAAGGAATTTACCATTGCTAGACGACCAGAAATGATCTCAAAATCGTGACTCTTCTTAGAGCTTTCAATATAATCAGATAACGTATCAAAAAAAGGCGACACCTCATCCCCACCGTCCCTTTTCATTTTCACAACCCCAAAACGATCCTCACCGTACGATCTGAGCGTACACAACCTCGGCTGCAGCATAATCTTCGTATTTTCCGTTTCACCCTGCTTGATCTTTGGAGCTGGAGCCTGAACTGAAACAGCAGAATCTCTCCTCAAAACGGCAGGTTTCTCTACATTCAGCTGACAGTGAATTGCACGCGCCACCCTAGCCATAGATACAGAGAGGGAATTCCTTGTTTCGTTGTTCGTACGTAGTCCTTGAGACTGAGACTATTAAGGTGGTAGGAGTAGAGAACAGTGGTGATAGCTTATGAATCCACGTCTGTGACTTTCTTGTGAGGTAGTAGGGAGGTGTGATGCGTGAGGGTCAAGTACTTACGTGGCAACAATTTCGTTCGGTGACGTCGGTTTCAAAAGGATGGAATTTAATAGCGTGTCAATAATTGAACGGGTGTCTGCGCCCGACGACAAGTCGCTTTATCATAAAACAGACGGAATATCGAAGACTGTACTAAAGATAACGGACGACCGGAAGAATGGCGAAGCAGGCAGTTACTATTGGATCTTTGTGATCAACGAGTGTTATGATTCAGTTGCAGTAGACGCAGTTGCAAGGTGACTGTTTACACTATATTTTAACTTTTTTCACTATGCATCTGCCATATAAGGCTGAGCAATCAGTCGGTTTAGTTGATTTTAGGCTGATTCAAAACAAAATCGATCGAACCAAACCAAAGTGATATTCAAATCAAACCAACTCAAATTGAACCAGCTCAGTTTTAGTGATATTGGTTTTCTTATAGGCATACTGTTTTCCGTTTGAAGTTTGATTGTACAATCTATTCTTCTACTGAATTTAATGGTAATTAATTATATTTATTATAAACAATTAATTTATGAATAATCGAAGCATATATAAAATATTCAAAGAATTTATAGAAGACTCACTTTGAACATTGATCGAAATTTTCAAATTTTATTTTTTAGTTTATACTAAAAATATCTTGCTTAAAAGAATCGAGTTTTTTCTACTCAAAACAACTCCATTGATTTTTTATTTATTTTGATTTGATTATTAACATCTTAATATATTTAATTTTTTTACATATATAAAATTTTATTTTTTAGTTTATTACTAAAAAAAAAAAAAAAGAAAAAAATTACATCTTCTTTATAAAGAATCGAGTTTTTTTGCTACTTCAAACATTCCAATTTTTAATTTATTTTGAGTGGTTTGTATTTATTTGATTAACCATCTTAATGTATATTTAATTTTGTTACATTACATAGTATATATAATATATCATAATATATATATATAAAAAATGTTTTAAAAATAAAAAAGAAAAAGAAAGTAACATGAGGATCTCATTTAAAGATCAATAATTAATACTAGAGTCTCTCTAGCTATATAATTATATATTAAAATGTGAATTAAATCAAAGGCATTTATGTCATGTAAACAAAAATAAAACCCGAAAGATTACATAATTAATTTAGTTTTTTTAATAAAATTTAAAATAAAAGGAAAGAAATAATTTTTTATTTCTTTATAGTTTAATTTGTCATAAATTTATAATCTATCCCCTACCATTTTAAAAACAACCCTATACTACAAGTCCGTGCGTTATTTTAGTTTGGTTTTTCGATTAGTTGCTACTTTATCATTCCCGTTCATATTTATTTTCCCATTTTTTGCTACAAAATTAAAAAAGGAAAAGAACATCGGATGAGAAAAATACCAATATTTTTCTCCAAAATCCCTTTAACACCCCAAAGCACGAATTTGCAAACTGTCCCAAAACACCAAGTACTCGGCATTTCTTTTGTTTTTTTTTTTTAAAAATAAAAAAAAGAAAAGAAAGTTAACATGAGGATCCATTAAAGATAATAATAAACATACCTCTAGCAATAAAATAAAAATTAAATCAAAGCATTATGTCATGTAACAAAAATAAAACCGAAAGATTACATAATTAATTTAGATTTTTTTAATAAAATTTTAAAAATAAAAGGAAAAATTATAATTTTATCTTTATAGTTAATTTGTCATAAATTATTAATCTATCCCTCCATTTTAAAAAAATATACTATAATACTCTATAGTTTGGTTGCATTAGCTACTTTTATCATTCCGTTCATTTTATTCCATTTTTTGTACAAATTAAAGGAAAAAGGAACAATCGGATGAGAAAAATACAATATTTTTCTCCAAAATCCCTTTAACACCCCAAAACACGCATTTGCAAACTTCCCAAACACCAAGTACTCGGATTTTTTTGGATACCAAACACCGCAATATTCCCATTTTTTCTTAGGGGTTTGTTAGATTAAAATTGTGTAAAATTATTGAGTTTGATGAAATTGAAGGATTTTCTAAGATTTTCATAGATTTCACTAGAATTCTACATAAAATTTTATGGAATAGTAAAACTTTTTTTATAGATTTTAATTGACTTTGATGGAATTACAATGATTTTTATATATCTGATCAAAATTAATTTCAGGACCTAATTGAATAAATTAAAAAATTTTAAAGCCCAATTGAAAACTGAAAAATAATGAGTAATCAAAAAGTAAATGTGTCATCTTTTCTAAAATCATTATTTTTCTTCATTAAAACCTTATCGCTATCAACTGGCAATGAAAGGCATGCAATGGCTAGCATCACTGCGGCCATTCTATGCTCTTAGAACAATCACGGTGCGGTTAGAAGACCACAAATTTTTTCATTCCTTGATTGAACAATCATTTTTTTAGAAAAATCTCAAGTTTAAATAAGTGTATATATATTAATTTAAAATCGAAAATTAGCAACCACCGCTAGCTAAGACTTGCGCCAATTGCTAGAACTCGCGCAAGGAATAGTTTTATGGCTTTTTAAAATTCAATTCATACTTATTGAATAACTTGTTGACATTGAATGAAATTCATAAAAATTCATATAAAATTCATAAAAATCTAATAGTATTCAATTATAACTTTTTAAAAGGCCATACAAATTTGATGATATTCAAAAAATTATTTATTTGGAAGGATTTTATAAATTATTAATTGTGTTGGATTTTAAGGTGCTAAACATAAATAAAAGTCATTCACAAATTCATCCTCCAACCCAAATATTTCAAAAATATTTTAAAATCTAACAGAGTCTTAATCCAATATACCCCTTAACAAGGATGGAAGCGAAATGGGTACCCGTGAATTTTAAACATATCCGTTCTAAACCCATTTAAATACTCTTTCAAGTACCCGTATTCGAACTAGTTTAAATTTTACTACCCGTATTTGTCTAAAACTCATTTAAAGTACTTCTTAAACGGATAGAGTGTCCGCGAATCTTAAACTATTTAAATTTGAATTTATTTAAAATATATTTTTTTATTAATAATGGATGGGGCACCAATAAATAGGACACGGGTACCCACTATCGGACCTGTTTAATATAGCAGTTAATGGATAACGGGTATCCAAATATCTCCAAACATGTACCTTACTTATATCCATTATGGCTAGTACATATACCCTACTTGTAGTAATTTCACTATTCATATTCATTTCAAACTCTTTTGTAACTACACATATCTTCTTTAAATGGATAAGAGCAAAACTGATACCCTAAAACACATGTACTATTTCCATCCTTGCCCCTTACGATGTAAAAAAAATGTATTATTTATTGCATTAGTTTCGAATTAATTCATGTTTTGAGAATTTGATAGTTTGACAAAAATTAATATTAATGGTGCTATAAATTTTAGAATTAATTTCATTATTTTTTGAAATTTTTTTCGTTGATTTCAATTAAATAATGATTTAATCAAATAAAAAAATTTTAAAAAGATTTGAAATAAATAATGATTTAATCGAATAAAAAAATTTAAAAAAAATTTGAAATAGTCAAAGAACTAAAGAATACAATTTTTCATTATTCTGGCCGGACCACTAAACTTCTTGAGCAGCAAGCGACTGGCAGTGCATTGATTTTAAATTAATATAAAATTGTTTCCTTGCACAAGCTTTGGCAATTGTCGCAGGTTCTAACTAATGATGATTGTTGGTTTTCGAATTAAATTAATATTTATTTATTTATTTAAACTTGATATTTTTCGAGTCGCCGTCCAATCAAAGGACGAGAAACTTGTGGCTTTCTGACCACATCGTGATTATTCTATGAGTGCGAGATGGCGGTCAACGATGCCGGATATTAATGGCCATTATTGGTGGCGGTAAGGTTTTAATGAAGGAAAAAAAAAAAACGATTTTGGAAAAAATAACACATTTACTTTTTGATCCCCCATTATTTTTCAAATTTTCAATTGGACTTCAAAACCTTTTAATTTATTCAATTAGATCATGATATTAATTTTGATTAGACATTTAAAAATCACTCTAATTCCGTCAAAGTCAATCAAAATCTATAAAAAAATCTAATTAATTCAATAAAACTCCATGTAAAATTCTAATGAAATATGTGAAAATCATGAGAAATCCATCAATTCTATCAAACTCAACAATTCTTTTAAAATCTTACATAATCCTAATCCTATACATCCCTTCATGATAAACACTTTTAATATGATTATGGCCAACAACCATGCCTCACCAGTTTTGGAGTTTCCGACAACAGTGAATTGAAATTGATTTTTGTGATTTTCATAGATTAAAACACTCAGATTTGAGTATTGAATTTCTCATCTTATAATCTGAATAGATGTTATGTTATTGTTGAAACTGAGCTTCAATGAATCTCTCTCTCTCTCAGAGTAGATTTTTTTCTCTCTAAAAGTTTTAGGTTCTTTTTATCTCTCCTCTGTTATTTTTATAGATCTGTTTCTTAGTATTCTTTTGAGTGGACGTAAAATTAGAGACGCAAATTTCTTGAGATTATCAAAATAAATTTATTTTACATGCTTTTTTTTTATTTCATTCACACTTCATTTTGAGAGAAAAAAAAAAAAGAATAATATCATTTTACATTCTTATTTTACTTCCCAAACGAAAGAGAATATTCAATAAAAATTCAACGTCCAAACAAGAAAACAGAAAAAGCAACCACAAGGAACAACAAAACGAAAATTCAATAAATTCTTGATCATTTGCCGATAAATCTCTTACCCATATACGCATCAAAATCTCACTTTTTTTTCTTTTCTTTTTTTTTTTCGAATTTAAAATAAAGAGATTGAAGTATATAAATAGAGAGATTAAGAATCAAGTGATGACGTATTCTTTGAATTGAAACAATTGAATCATGATTTTGATGTACAATATGACCTATGGAGGTTTGAAAGAGAGACACTATTAGGTTAAGGCATCAAAACTGAATTCCAGTGAGGGGCATTATTGTCTTGTAATTAAGATCTGAATTGCAATAAAATAGATAGGAGGACAAAAATATATAATAGAACCAAACTATAGAACCAAACTATAGGGATATTATAGTGTATTTTTTAAAATATAAGAATAGACTAATAATTTATGCGAACTAAATAAATAAAATTATAATTTTACCAAAATAAAGAAGTCCTAATTAGCGTATTTAGAATAAGCAAACAGACTAAATAATACTACGTTCTATTTTATCATATTATCATAATAATCTATTTTATCATATTATCATAATACTTATTACATTTGAGAACGTATTAAATAATACTACCTTCTTTCTATTTTATCATAATACTTGTCATATTTGAGAAAATAGTTTTTTCCAAAATACTTATCACGTTATATTTATAGTACATTACATTTATAGTTTCAAAGAATAACAAATATTTTTTCTATAATTACCTTTATATGATTGATTTTTTAAAGAATTAATATTAAATTAAAAATAATATAATCAATTTATCCGATAATTTATTTTAATTTAAAGAAATTTAATGATTTTCTCGAAGTTACAAATACGTCGGTGAGTAACAGAGTTAGTAATTCAATAAAATACTAACGAAAAACTCATGAGCTTGGCGATCAGTGATAATCACTACAACCACAAGACAACAATTGAAGTTTTTGAAAACAACAAAATAATTTGTCTACATCAGAGGAAGAAAAGCAAAACAAGCAAAACACAAAATAGTACAACACTACAAAATGAGTGGAGTTAAAAAGAAGCAACCCAGAAGCATAAAAAAAGGGGGGAAAGAAACAAAACCAGTAGCAGCCTCAAGCAGTCTGAGCAGGAGGACCCTTGGGCGGAGTTGGGCGTTTTGGACCCTTTACCACCTTCACTGCTCTCTCTTGTACATTAAATTTCTATAAATAAATTAAACAATTACAGATCTATGCTTCAACAACAATTTCGAAATCTATATATATAGATCATATATAATTAATTACAAACCTCTACGGATTCCGACTTAGCTGCTTTTTTTCCTTTTTCTGCATCTTCATTTCCAAGCAACAGCAGAAAAAATTTTTAAAAAAATACTGAAGCTGTATATAATTAAATACACACATAAAAATAATACTGATTAAGGTTGTACCAGTAGATGAATTTTTGTGGCCTTTCATGGATTCCAGTAAATTGAGAAATATCTTCTTCAGAGCTTGAGCAAGATTCTCCATTTGAAATGTCGTTTTTTTCTGGCTCTTGGTTTATAGCAAGTGTTAATCTCTTTTTAGGCTATATGTAGGTGGTTTCTGGAAGAAGGTGACGCACAGCAGCAGCATGTGGCTGTGCTTAGGTGTATAGATTATTAAGTACAACGTGCACTGTACTAATCCATTGTTTGTGAATAGGGATTTGATTAGAGTGTACTCAATTCCATTGCTAGTAATTATTAGAGGATGCATATAAATGCATTAATGGGCCAATTCATCATTAAATATCATTTATTTATAAGAGCCATAATTTTACTCATTATGGCTTTTTTTAAAGTATGATTACTCGGTACCTCTCCTCTGATTCAATTGGCAAAATAGATTGAATATGTAGAAAAAATTTTTGAATTCAATCTTACTAAATATTTTTATAGAGAGTGACGAAAAATTTTAATTATAATTAAATTTTGAATTGAATTAAGCAGTGTCTGGTAACATCAATACTTTACATAAAAATAAAGAAGTAAGATTACTTAGAGTTAGATTTTTTTTTTTTTTTTGGAATATGGAAATTAAGGGTTTAGGATGCCACACCTGTTGTGTAGGTAAGAACACAATATATATAAATTTTGATTTAGTAGTATTAGAGTTGTTAACTTAAAATTATGATAAAAAAAAAAAACCTCTTCATCTTCATTAATTTTTTTTTCTTTTCTTCCATAATTTAAGCATATAGATACACAAAGGGGTTAATTCTTGTATCCATGACAACTCTCGCCTTTTTATTCCCTTTTTTTACTTTTATATATTTTATCAAATAAATAATATATTTATGTATATTTGGCATAAATCTATATTATTTATGATTTTTTTATTTTTCTCCATCTTGTACAATTTATGACCTCCCCATTACATGTGAAGTTTTATTTTTATTTTGATTTGTATTTGGTTTATTTTTTTATTTAAACAGGTGTGTAATTTGTGAAGAATTTCTTAAATAATGTTGATTTTTATCTTTTTAGAGTTTAGTAGTGTAACTTATTACTCCATAGGATTTAATAGTTTAAAATCTTTATGTTCGTCGTAAACAACTAGTTTATCAAATCAACGAATTCTATTATACTATATTTTAATTGTGATAGATTTGTTTCATTTCTGAAGAGATATTGTCTTTTTTATATTATTTATATCATTTTGAAATTACTAATGAAATTCTAATATATTATATAACAAAAACTCAGTAAAGTTATGAGTTTAAATTTTAATTAAAAATATTATTTCTTATCTTTTTAATAAGTAGAAACCACAGCCTTTACCTTGTTTTTAGCTTTAAAAAAAAAAAAAATCTCTCTAGTTCCTTTTACTAAGGATAATCATAGGGGAGGTTTTTTTTTTTTTAATATATATATAGTCCCATCATTCCTGTCGAGTCAAAATGAGGTTAAATTTTTTTAAAAAAAAAAAATTTAAAGATGAAAACATAGATTTACTTTTAAAAAATAATTTACAAGAAAGGCCTAATTTTATAAATATTTACAATTTCACTATATTTTGATCTTTTTATCAATTTTACTCTAATTTCAACCTTTTGTAACAATTGTACCCTCAATTACAATTGAGAATATAATTGCAAATAAAATAATATAAGCATCATTTTCAAATAATTGTGTGACACTCATAAAATTTAAAAAAGAAAAATAAAAAAAGATTCCATTAGTGTACTCCATTAATGGCATAGACAAAAATTTAATTTTCAGAAAATAATTGTATTAATTAATAATTTAATAACATAAATTTTGTTAGTTACCAAAAAATTCTGAAGCATGAAAAATCAAACTAATACAATATAATATTTCAATTAAGTATTTTGTTTTCATATTATGTGTGTATTTTAAGGATGAAAAATCCTAATTATTGTAATTTTTGGATTTATAATATAGTCAAATTATTATTCATTTGACAAAAAATAAATTAGTAACTTCTTAATTATTTTAATTGTGCATATATCAAGTATCGTATTTTTAAGCATATAGATGTGAATGTGATTTAATATTCAAAGGATATTTAAAATTTGCTACAAAATGGTAAAAATACTTTTTTTTTATTTGTAATTCCATCATTAGTTGAACTAAGGATGTTATTGCTATAAAAAGTCAAATTAGAGTAAAATCAATAAAATATTAAAAATAAGCTGAAATTACAAAAGACTGCAAACTTTGTAGTATTCTGATATATTTTTTTATTTGATACTTAGAGGGGTTGATGGACCACAATAGTATTATGAGCTACAAAGCACGGATAGTCCTCCTTTAAATGACATTCACCGAATTGATGATAATTTGTGAGTATTTTAATACTTTAAATTCCGTACTGATTAGTTGATTATGCATCTAACTTGAACTTAGATCCACATATTGTTCATCAACCTCCTGCAGGTCTTCAATCTTCATTGCTTCATGGTCCTTTTGGTGTCTTTTATTCGAGATTATGTAAAGTTCAGTTTTATTTAATCTTTTTTTTTTTCAAAAGAAAAAAAAAAGGAAAAAAGAAAAATCCACACCTGCAAGCCCTGTCTTTAAATAGGATGGATCTTATCTGCATTATTTGAATAATTTTCGAATGGGTAAAATGACTAACTTTATTAATACTCTTACTATATTATTTTTGGTAATTGTGAATTTAAATAAAGGTAATGTTTGATTGGGATAAGTCGACCAGGATGCTGACAGATTGTTTGAAAGGAAGTTATTTAATAGATTCGGAAGTAAAGTAGAGAGGAGTTATTTAGTCATTTGGAAAGAGAGTTTGAGAGAGAGTATGGTTTTTTAAAAGTTATCTGAGAGGCTGAAAATCCATCTAAACACCTTAATCTTTAACACTGCAAATTGAGATGTAAGGATAGTTAAAAAAATTTAATTTTTAAAATTATTCATAACTATATTTATAAATCTTCCATGACAAAAGTATTTTCATAATATTTATATTTAACATTACATGCTTGTATCATTACCCTCCCTCAATCCAAACAAAACGTAAAAGTGTTGCCATCACTCTCCCTCAATCCAAATAAAGCGTAAAAGTGTTGAAACATAGTATCGGACTCCGATATCATTTCATTAAATGAACTAGACATAACTCACTCCTCAAAAGCTAGTTCAAAAAGAGAAAAATTGCTAAGTCTTAAATTTTGAAAAGGTGTGTTATGATTTAAAACACACAGAAACTTTAGCATATTGAGTTTAGGCTATTACAAGTTGTATCTATTCAATCTTGATCAAGAATTTAATTACAATATAATGATAAAGTCAATGTTGATTATATAAGAACAATGGAATTAAGAACAAAAATAAATATCTAAACATTAGAAGCCTTCTAATTTGCCAAAACATGAGAAATTGAAGGACAAAGATTGCTTCAGGAAAAAAAAAATATATTTAAAATAAATAAAAGTAAACAAGAAAGAAAAAGAAAAAAAAAAGGCCATTTCTTACATAACAAACAACAAAAACAATCATTACAAGAAGGAATAATCAATCAACCAAAGTCTGATCCCTTTTGGTCAATTTCAGTGCTAAACCATCAATTTTAAGAATGTTTGTTCCTCAGTTATTAGTTAGAACAATCAGCCCAAAAAGATAAAAAGAAAAAACAATATTTAGAACGAACACTACCTAATAATTACCCTTCCCTTTAACCTAAAACATAAACCAATCTATCAAATCTGATATTAGAATAAAAGAAAATCAAACCCTAACCATAAATATACTAAGTTCAGGACCATTGTTTCCTTCAGGGCTAATCATGTATAAAGTTTCAGAATCCTTGGAACCCACAACTCTATCAAAATATGCCCTTATATAGGCAAGCTCGCAATCATGTCCTTCTGTTTCAGAATTCCCTGGTAAAACACCAGCCCCCATAGAAACTGCCCTAAGAAGCTCCATAACTTTCAAATCTTCCTCTGTGGGTTCTCTTTTAACACCATATCCATTCTTTTTCCCATTGCAAAACATGGTCCATACTGGCTCATCCAGTAACCTAACTTTCTCTTTATCAGTTCTCTTTTCACATTCTAATGCAATCCTCACCATTCCTGAACTCAACTCCTTTTGTAAGATATGAGTTTGTATAGCTAACTCAATTACTACTGTAGGAAAACATTTTGGACTTTCTTGTATTGATAAACTTACTCTACCTTTACGATACCCGAATAAAGTTCCTGTGACGCGATTACCAGAAATGCTCCGGTGATGACTTTCTAATAAGCTACCATTAAGAACGGGAATCTTGCACACAGGAGTTATTATAGGGAAAGATCGGAAAACGGAACGGAAGACCCGAACAACTTTAGGTTGTTTCTTTTTCTCGGATGGTTGGACTAGTTGTATAGTTCGGCGTCGCGGTGGTAATGGTGGTGGTGTTGGTGCTTTGGATTTTTCCGACGGTAAAAAAATGTTGGTTGGAGGCGTTGGCTCCCCCATTAATGGAGAATGATGAACGAGGGAGGGGACATTGCCAATGCCCTGAGAGAGAGAGAATGAGAGAATTGGTGATTTTGTTTTTGGAAAAAATGGCCATTTCGTTTGTGGTCAATAATCCTATCAACGTAACAGAATTTCTGCTTTTTCATTTAAATATAGGCTTTATTGAATTTTCCTTTTTTAGTGAGATTGATATCTGTATAAATTAAATATTTAAATAATTTTTTTAAAATTATTCCTTTAAATTTTTCACTGATTTCTAATTTTACCATTTTATAAATTGTTAATGTTTTAAATTTTCAAAAATTCATTGACAAATAAAGCCTCAATAATATAAAATGACAAAAAAATTATCAACAGAAGAAAACTCAAAAATGTTTAGATAATTAAAATGATTTTTTTTTTTTTAGTTTGTACATATGCCTCCATACAAAATAATGTTTAGGCAATTATATACTAAAAAGGTAATTTTATAATAGTTAAAATTCCTTTAACATTTAAAACATTACAAATTAGTAACATAAGATTGTTAATGGGTTTACTAATGTAAAGTCAAATCTAAGCTCTTTATTTAACTAAGACCAAAACAATATTAATTATTTAGAGTATTAACTAAGATTAAAATAATATCAACTATTTAGAATTAACGCTTCACTATGAATGGGCTTTAGGGTTTCTTTTCACTTATTTTCTCTCTCGTCTATCTAATTTTAATTTTTGTTCAGGGCTATCCTTGTTAATTAGTGGTAGCCCCTACTTTTCATTTTTTCTTCTTGCTCTTGATCTATTATTCGTTTTTAATAAACTCATATCTATTTTCTTCTAATAGATTTGCTTTTTCTTTGTTTTCTTTTTTTATTATTGTTGCTTTGTCTCCATATTTTTGGAGGTTTTTTTCTTTGTGAAAGTTTGTTACTAAAAGGTATAATATTTGATTTTATTTAGTTAAAGAATTTAGATATTGTTTTACTAATGTGTGTCTTCAATCAATGAAACTTGGTAATGCGGTCTGTTCCTCTATTGATGTTATTAACACATAATTGCATAAACTCATCCGTATAAGTCATATGCAACAAGTTTTTGGAAAAGCAATCCAAGATGAAAGATCTGGAAGAGTTATTTTGTCGTTCAAATCAATTAAAGGACCAGTTGCTACTATCAAGATTTATGCCGGTCAAGGTCATCTTTAAACGGAAAAATCCAATATTGTTTCTTTTAATTTTAGTTTTATTATTCAAAATAATATAAATAATTTTTTTATTGTTAAATAATCGACGAACTTTCTATTAATTATGGCAGTAAGTTTTATGTCTGATCTAATGACAGTATTTGTAATACTGGATTTATTATTAATGAATTATATTTCTCAAAAAAATATATTAATTATTTAAAGATTTGACTAAGGCCAATAATATTTAATTAATTATGGACATTAAAATATAGTCTGATGTAAGTGTATAGACGACTTGTCAAATAGATCTAAGTTAAATCTCCGTTCTCAATAATAAAAAAAAAAAAGTATTAATTATATTTTTGAAAATATAATAATTATATTAACATTTAAAAAATAAAAATAATTTTACCATTTAAAACAATTAATTGAACTTTTTGAACTCTTTTATATTTAATAGTTAATCAAACACTATTTTTAACAAATATTATTACTTTAAATTACTACATAACCACCTAATCATCATGGTGTGTTTTTCGGTTATTATATAATATCACAATATAAAGGGTCCCACGACTCGAAAAGCATATTGCACTTGTACACATTGAGATGAAAATGGTATAAATATAAATGCAAGTTATATTCTGCAGCACCTATTTCACTTTCGATATAAATACATATCGTTGCTTCTTTCTTTCCAGTGCAGTAAAGCCAAAGCCCTCGCTGTTGGCTATTAATTGTATTCAAAGAAAGAGAAGCGAAAGTAAAGATCTATTAAATTCAATTCCTCATGATTAAAACAACACACAACTCAATTGGAAGTGGAATGAGAAAGAAATCAAAAGAAAAAGCGAAAAATAACAAGTAGTTGAATCCTGAAAGTTAGACACAGGAGTCAGCCGCCACCCTTGATCGCGCTGTCCTGCTCCTCTGTGATCCTTTCGCTCCTTCCTTTATTGTGCTCACATAGATTAAATCTCTAGTTTCTTTCTCCCTTGTTGTTGGCTTAGCTTTTTATTTTCATGAAAAATTATGGACTCTTGAGTTTTCATTTTTGAGAGATGAATTCAACTGAAACAAATCCGCAATTGGAAATAAAGATTTCTTGAGTAAATTAACAAGTATTATTTGTTTTAGAAACCTAACACAAATGATGATTTCTTTGGATAACTTAAGAGAGGGTTATTGGGATACTTAAGAAAAAGCTAGTCAGTCTAGTTGCTGCTTAAGTTATATTTTTACTATATTTAATATATTATATAATTCTTTATTTAATTAAATTATTCTTATTTTTTTAATCAATAAAATTAAAATTCTTAATAATTTTATATTTTTATCATATTTAATATATACCTTCGGAAAATTGCTCATTTTATGCTCTCGCATACAATTCCTGCTTAATGCAACATCCTACAGGAAGGAACAACTCTCTCCAACCGCCAATCCAATAAGTCGTTAAGATGATTTTTTTTTTTTTTTTTTATCCTCCCCTAATGACACATATAACGCCAGCAACTACTGTAACTCATTGTGGTCTAATTTAATTAGTATCAGGTCAATCTAATCTTAGTAAGTTTAATTTAATGTTTCTTAGATTTCTAATTTATAAGACAAGTGTAAGTATTAGTTTTTATATATACTAACACTACTCATTCTATTCACAAATTGAATGTATATATTATTCTCTCTCACAAAAAAAAAACAAATAATAAGTTAATTATTCGAAAGATATTTCCTCGACATAGAATGGTCCGATAATAATAGTATATTTAATAGCGTTTAATTATGGACAATTTAAAATTTTAAAGAGTCTGATGTAAGATTGCTATAAGACGACAAAACTTCAACCTATTAGGATTCTAAAGCTTTAATATCATACCTTCCTTCTCACTCCCAATACATACAAAATTAACACAATTAGTTATGTTCCCGCTTACTGTAAATTAACTTTTTTATTTTTTGGCAATCACAATATATATTTTCCCCTCACATTAAACATTTATAAATCAATCATAAATAAAAAAATTATTATTATTTAATCTCATTTTAAATAAAATTATTGAACTTTTATACAGCTCTTTATTAGATTTTTAATAGGTTAATCAAACACTATTTTAACTAATAATAATTATATACTTTTATAAATATTAACTTACATATTATACACATCTCATAATTGATCATGTGCGTGATGCGTTTTTCGTTAATTATTATAATATATCACAATTATAAACGGCTCGTGAAATATCACTCGACGACTACGTAAAAAGCATAATTGCACTTGATACACATTGAATGAAAATGGAAAAAAAAAAGAGAAGTGGAGTATAATATAATGCAAAGTTATATTTCTGCTATGTTAGCATATTCAACTCCACATTATTTTCACTCTATTTAACGATATAATAGCATACATATCGTTTGCCTTCTTATCTTTCCAGTGCTATCAAGAGTTACAAGCCAAGCCCTTGCGCTGATTGCTATTTAAATCTGTAATTTTGCAGAAAGAGAAGCGAAAGCTACAAGATTCTATTAAATTCAATTCCTCATGATTAAACAACAACACAACTCAACTTGGGAAGTGGAATGAGAAACAGAAATCAAATGGAAAGAAGCGAAAAATGAAATCAAAGTTAGTTGAATCCTGAAAGTAGTACAGGAGTCAAGGCTCGACCACTCCTTGATCCGATGTCCTGATCCTACTGATGATTCCTTTCGCTCCTCCTTTATTTGTGTATTCAACACATAGATAATAAATCTCTTAGTTTTCTTATCTCCCTTTGATTGTTCCTTAGCTTTACTTATTTTCAATGAAAAAAATTTATGGAGACTTCATTGAGAGTTTTACATTTTGAGAGAGTAAGTGAATATTTCTACTCAGAACAATATCCGCAATTGGAAATACAATATTTTTGAGTTAATTACAATAATTATTATTATCTTATTTAGAGAAACCTAAACACAAAATTGAATTAGTTTATCTTGTTGCGAATCTAAACTTTTAATGTATTTCTGGTCGTATATATGTGACAATATATAAAATTTGATTAGCTTAAGTAAAAAAGCTAGAGTCAGATCTAGTTTGACATATAGTGTATCCTATTAAAGTTGAACTATATTGTTTACTAATAATTTAATATATTATAAATTCTTTATTTAATTAAATTATTCTTATTTTTTTTAATAATAAAATTCAAAATTTCTACATAATTTTATATTTTATCATCATTAATCTATACTTCGGAAAATTGCTCTATTTTATGCTTCGCATTACATTCCTGCTTAATGCAACATCCTACAGGACAGGAACAAACTCTCTCCCAACCGCAATCCAATAAAGTCCTGTTAAGATTGAAGTTTTTTTTCTTTTTTTTTTTTTTTTTTTAATTTTCAAGTACCACGAGGTTTTCTTACACTTTTTTAGTTTGTGACTGATTTTTCTTCCGGTTATAGATAATTAATATATTTTCTCCATATCAAACTGATATTTTTATTTTTAAGGAATCAAGATCGCTAAATTTTGCAACATAAATGCAGTTTTAAAAAGGAGAGAAAAGAAAATAATGGAGGAAAGAAAATAATTTTAAAAAATAAATAATAAAATCTATTTCACATTAAAATGGTATTTTTCTAATTCGTCCTTTTTTTTTTTTTAATTTTGAGAGATTTTATTTTGTATGCCTAAAAGGAAATATTACATATTTTGAATTCTTTGGTATTTTCCTTAACTTTTTCAAACAAGAAAAATCTTTTCCCTAGATATTTTCCTTAAATATTTTATTTCGTAAAAAAAAAATCTTCCTTTTTAAACAAAGGGTGAGTCAATATTTAAATCAAATTTTGTATATTAAGTGTAAGCAAGAAATTTTTTCAAAATAGAAATTATAATTCAAGAATTAACCTGTTAATTAGGT